AGTGTCCTGGTTCAGTAATCAAGAAAAATAACTTAATTTCAGTTATATTTCTACTTTATGACTTGATATAGATGCTCCTGTTGTGTGTGCAGACATGCATACACATGAAGAAATAATAACAAAAGTAACTAATGAAGGTTTATTTTCTATTTTGTCTTATATGTGTACACTATTATGTACTACATAAATATTAGTGCTACATATATGATTTATATTTTTATTTTTTAATGTCAGGCAAAGGTTACAGATCTCTATTTCATGCAAAAGATCACTGAAAATGTAGATAAGGCAAAAGTTGCATTTGGCTGGTACTGAAAATTTTGTGCCTTATATAATTTTCTAGTTGTAATCTGTAAATTGGAAGAGTGAAATAAAATCCACAAAATTGAGAAAGTAATTATTCAAAGATTCACCTAATATTTGATCTTTAGTCCAAGATCAAATTTTGTATAGTATTAGTATCATTTAGAATGGAAAGTATAATATCCATATTTTTGTCTAGAGGATGCTTTGACAAAGTAAGTTCAGCATACCTTAAATACACACAAAAGATGCCAATATCATTTGCCTAGAAGCTGATTTCATACAATCAGATAAAATACACTGTTGTACTCCATGTTTTTGTACTTAGTGTTACCTACTTTAAAACACAAGAAATTTCAAAATGCTATTAATTAAGTTTGTTGAACCCTCCAACACCTGATCTTTCCCCTGTTTTTTAATGGACAATGTTCAGGAGAAAATTGCACAGAGATCATAATTCTGAGTTTTAAGATATGATACTACTTGGAAAGCACGAAAACAATACCATTTGCAGTTTGCTTTTAAAAAAACAACAACAACAATTGGAGATTTCTTCTAAATCATGAACCCAATTACTCAGGAATAACGTCACCTGAATTGATACTGATTAAAGTTTCAGCTCTAACATATATTTACGTAAAAATGGAAAAATAATTCTTCAATTTTATTGACAGCAGTATTATAAGAGTTGGGAAAAAACATTAGCATTCTCAAACATACTCAAGAATTCATACTTTTCGTCTTACAAATGAATGAACTAATATCAACAAAAAATACCTCTTCCTGCCCCCAAATACTCTTCTCTCTGAGATGTAACATATTACCTGTTATTGATTTCTGTATCTTTGTCTTGTATATAAGTTTATGCATTTTAAAAACCTCTTAGTTGTCATATATTTAAACATTTTTCATAACAAGTTAAAATATCTGAACATTTAGATGTTTAAATTTACTTCTTAAATATTACAAATATTTTCCTTTAAGTCATCATCAAGAAGCTGAAATGCAATTGATAAAATATTCTTCTGTAACATATTATGTGTAAGGAAATAAAATTCATAATGCAGCACACCCATATGGGGACGTCAAACAATTTGCTTCTCTGATTCTTAGCAAGTATCTGCACAGCATAATTTTCAGTTCCAACAAACATATTTGTATTTGAGAGAAGAGAAAGGGCATTCATTATATTTCGTTGGAAGACGTAATTTCAAATTTTCATGTACCCTTCCCATTTGGAGCCATTTGGCCAGAATTAGTCAGATGTCCGTCCAAAGCTCAAGGGAAACCTTAAAGCATAATGTAGCATGTGCAGAAATAAAGCCAGAGATGTATTACTAAAGGAAGAGATGAGGTAGAGAACAATTACTCAGTTGCCTTTTAGTCCCTATTAAGAGATGGCATATGCCTAATAAAGCATTATCAAAGACTAGTCCAGATAATTATGGGTGTATGTGGGTTGCTATTATTAAAAATTGCATACAAATATCATGTAAGAACTAGGTGCTGGGGGCTCATGGTGTTTCAAACTTTACAGAAAAAAATCTGTATGTCAATAAGGACTTATGAACAAAGGCTATGCATTTCCTATTTGGAATAAGATAATGTATTTCAATGGCTTTTAAAATGCTTTTAACCCACATGTATGGGATAAAATTTATTATAATCAAATCATTTCCCCTAGCCATGAGTCCTAATAAAAGAATGTTCCCGGGGGAATAGGGAAAGAAAGATATGTTAAAATAAATTGTTCATGAAAGGAAGATGAAAATTTAAGAGAAACCTATTATAATTAAAATCCACTGCTGCAAACATTTGCATTTAAAAAATAAAATTCTAAGCCGGGCGACAGTGGCTCACACCTGTAATCTTAGTTACTCAGGAGGTTGAGATCTGAGGATTGTGGCAAAGCCAGCCTGGGCAGGAAAGTCCATGTAACTCTTACCTCCATTTAACTGGCTCTGTGGCTCAAGTGGTAGAAGGCTCACCTTGAGCTGAGGAGCTCCAGTGGAGGGCCCAGGCCCAGAATTCAAGCCCCATGACCACCATGACCACCACCACTATCAACAACAACAAAATTCTAAAATAATAACTGCAGTTTGTGCTCTAAGAGAACCATAATAAACAAGTAGCTTACAGAAAGAAAGTGTGAAACAAAGAAGGGATGGAAGCAAGGGAGGGAAGCAGAGAGAGAAGGCAGGGAGGGAGGGAGGGTTGGGCACTGGTGGTTCAAGTCTGTAATATTAACTTCTCAGGAAGATGAGACATGAGGATGTCCTTTAGAAGCCAAAGTAAGCAGGATACTCCTAGAGAAACTTATCTCCAATTAACCACAAATAGCTGGCAGTGGAGCTGTGGCTCAAGTGATAGAGCCCTAGCCTTGAGCAAAGCAAAAATTGAGGGACAGTGCTTAGACACTTCAAGCCCTAGTACTGGCACACACACAGACACACAGACACGCAGACACACACAGACACACACACACACACACACACACACACACACACACACACACACACACACGTGTGTACACCAACACACCAAAGAATAAAAAAGGAAGAAGGAAGTGAGAATGAGTAAAATGAGACAAATAAGAATAAACAAGTGAATTGGTCAAAGACACTAAACATTTCTTTATTTTGGGGGGGTCCGGTTGTAGGACTGAACTCTGGGCCTGAGCACTGTCCTTCAGCTCTTCAGCTCAAGGCTAGTGCTCTACCTCTTGAGCCACAGTGCCACTTCCAGCTCTTTGCTTTTTGCTTATGTGGTGATGAGGAATCGAACCCAGGGCCTCAGGCATCCAAGGCAAGCACTCTACCACTGAGCCACCATCCCAGCCCGACACTAAACATTTCTAAGGATATCAATTGAATTGACAAAATTTTAGCTTGAGAGAGAGTATTGTCATTGTGGCTGATGGACATAAGAAATGGAAAAGTTTGACAAGCCTTAAAAATAATCACAATTACTAAAACACACATCAAATCTCACTTCAGTGCATACTCAAACTAACAGGAAACAAGGCTATAAAGTGTATGCATGGTCATAATATTCAGTGTATAGTTGTGAAAATAAAACTAGAGATTTGAGGAGATGGGTAGGTTTGGAGAGATTGGGCAAAATATGAAAGGAGTGACATTGATTAGGACTCATTGTATTCATAAGTGGACATGTTTAACTAAAACCCCTTTGTACAATCACTTAAAAGATAATAAAAATTGAATAAAGAAACATCATCCATAAGATTTTAAGTGGAAAAACATAGATATACTTAAAACGATGAATAAATAAAAGCCATGATATATTCATATTACTGATAGTGTAGCATCAACATGCACTTGAAAACAATACTCTAAGTGAAAGAACCCATTCACAGAGACTAAACATTACATGTTTCTATTGCATGAAATGCCCAGGGCACTAAATTGATTGAGACAAAGAGGAGATGTCACAAATCTATACAAATAGTGTGAGGATAGATGGAAAGTTATGACGTCTAGATTTTGGAAGTAGGAAAAGACTCTCAACTTACATGTGGAGATGGTTGTAGAAAAATTTGAACATACTAAATCCATTGATGAAATGGCAATGGATCATTTGTGAGTGGAATTTTTAATATCCTATTAATCATAAGAGTTTTGGGAAAGAAATCTATAAATATAGATTTCTCCTCCTTATGATTTAAGCATCAAGTCAAAATTCAAGCATTTTGTAACTGAAATCTTCTTGCAAATATTTATTTTTTTTGGAGTGTGCTATCTTTTCCTTGAGTTTTGCTTTCTGATGTATTTTTATTCATGCCTCAAGTAGACATATACAACATTTTTACTGCATTTTTTACAGTTGATATATTTTATAGAACCAAATCTAAAACCCACTTTTTGAAACTGGTTCAAATACAAATAAGTTAACATATGTTCTTCATTTATATTCAAGATTAGTGCCCTTTCAGAAAATAGTGTACAATCCTATTTATTGAATTATTGTCTATACATAGTCCATAAGGAGAAATTTCAGTTGCAGTGCTGCTGCTTTCTTCATAATTTGACCGCAGGGCTTTGTGTGTTTTGTTTACATTAATATAATCATTCATTGACCACAACACTAAGTAAGTTACAGTGGTGTTGCACTACATTCATCTCCACAATGGCAAAATAAAGGAAGGAAATTAGAAAAGTGTAAATATGTGTTTCCTCACCTTACAATTGCTCTGGAAAGATCTGCAATTTAATTTGGGGCTTAATACAATAATTTAAAATATATCTCTCATAGATGTATGTATATACATATATATGCATATAACTGGGCTGAAGGTGTGCCTCACTGGGTAGTGTGCTAACCAGGGAATGAAAGTGACAGGCATTAAGTTCACATCACTAAATGTATGCACTCTCATACAGAGTACAATGTACTCTTTACTTTGTCAAGTACCATATATACATACCTATATGTATACATATATACACATATACATATGTGTATACATATATACATATTTGAGTATATATGTATATGTAAATATGTATATAAACATATCTCTCATACATATGTATATATGTATGTACATATGCGCATATATGTTCTCTCTCTCTATATATATATATATATACATATTACCATATCTGCACTCAGAAAACATACATAGAGCTTAGCTGCAAAACCAATGCTCTGGTTGTCCACATCTGCACAGGTCTTACCTTTGTCTTGGCAGGCTGATGAGGGGCTGTTTGTGGCACCTCTTACTAAGGCTGAAGAGTTTGTGTACAATCCTCTGTGCCTTCAGAAAAAGTTGCTTCATGCTGCTTTCCAACTGTTCATAGCGACGCTGAAAATTAGAATCCATTGTCCACAAGTGCAGGACGGCAGAGGCGTTGAGGAAGTAATGCACGGGCAGCCTCTTCATGAAGAACTTGAATTCATCTGAGGGACAAAGTTCAATAAGTTCATACTTTAATTATAAAACAACTGTAATAAAAAACAAACTCTAATATAAAATGAAACTCTAATATAAAAAATCTAATATGTGAAAAACAAAACAAATGCAATTTGTTCTTAATGAATAGCAAGTTTTAGAAGGGATATTTAAAATTGTTTTCCTTTTAGATCCTTTTAGATATAACTTCTCAAGAAAGATGAGTTATTTCAGGTAAATAAGCACTTCTCACCACATGTTCTACAGCAAGGCAATCTTGTCGGAAATTTCACTGCTTTATTTATTGTATTAACACTGGTACTTGAACTCAGAGCCCTGTACTTTGGTTTTGCTTTTTGGTTCAAGGAGGGTGCTCTACCCTTTGAGCTACCTTTCCACTTCTGGATAGGAGTCTCACAGACTTTTCCACCCAGGCTGGCTTTGAACCTGAATCATCTGATCTTACTGGTTACTGGTGTGAGCCACCAGCTGTCAGTATAAATTTTCTATAATCAATTTAACAATTATATATAACTGGGCTGACGGTGGCTAACCAGTGAATGAAAGTGACAGGTATTAAGTTCACATCCTAGTCATGGACCTAAAAAAAGCGAAAATAAATTACATAAAATCATTACTAAATTTATGTACTCTCATACAGAGTACAATGTACTCTTTGTCAAGAACCATATTCTAATTTGTTGTGATATAAATACTTAAAGCAAGTGCTTACTAAAGATGTACCTATTACAATGGTGTTGCACTACATTCAAAAAAGGTACATTCGTTGTCATTTGTTAGTAGTATGTGGCTTTTGCATTGGTAGTAGTTCACAAAAATGTCTAAATTACTCTTAGAATTTCTAAATTTGATATCTGAGACTACAAAGGATGTTAATATGCATTTATGAAACTGAACTTGTTTTAATTTAGAAATTAGGGCAATTTTAATGTTTAGGTAGAGCTCATGTCATCAGGACTGATAAATATCTTTTAATAATTAAAAGATAGATATTTTCATTGATACTGTTGTTCTTTCTTCTAGAACAAGTATTCTCATTTGACATTTCTTAGACACAAAGGGTGAAGGACCTGAATTGAAGAAGAAGAGTGAATAAAATGAAACAGAAAGAAAAAAAAAACAAAAAAGGAAAAAATTGTGTCGAAGATTTTACAGAGCATATCCATTTGTATGCTTGGAATCATTATTTTTAATAAGCAGAGTGTAAATAATAGATGAATCTGAAAATTCTGATTTGACAATGTTCTATGTTTTGTTTGGTCCCATATGTCTCTGAGAAACTCCATGTTTTGAGTAAAGAATTCATGCATGGAAATTGGAAAGCATTCATTAGATTAGTCTCAGAGCAGATGCCATTATTTTGAAATCTAATCATTCATTTTATTGTCATTTTTTATTGAACACATTCAATAAGCCCTTATTGTGTTGTATTGAGGCATATTCAATTATGTTCATTTTTGTTAACAGTATTGGAAAGGGCTCTATATGGGAAGCCTGTATTCAAGTTAAATAAATTTTGTTAACCTAAAATTTATTTGTTTTAGCAGTATATATGTACTAGTGATTTTCTGCTGAAAATTGTAGTGTGGAATTCCTATGAAATGGGGTTTTAATATGACAGTGGAGTAATTACTTCATTAGAAAGCCATTAGCAGACACTACTGACAGTCACCCACAACACTGATGGAACACCTGTTGTTCACAGAACATGCAGATGTTTCCATCTGTGACAGAAACTTGGATAAACCTTTCATCTAATGTCTAAAATGACTAATAAATGATATGTCATATTTTGAGTCACTAAAACAACACATTAAATGAATTAGTTATTCTACTTACAAGCCAAGGGAATCATCAAGATTATTCCTGCACATCATTTCTCCCAATTTTACATTTGTAAACTATATAAATGAAATTTGAATGCCATATTAGAATATTAGGCAAAACTATAATTTGTATAGCTACAAAAATAAAATAACCCAGGTGCTGGTAGCTCACGCCTGTAATCTTAGATACTAAGGAGGCTGAGATCTGAGGATCATGGTTCAAAGCCAGCCCAGGCAAAAAAGTACGTGAGACTCTGATCTCCAATAAAGCATTCAGCGAACTGGAAGTGCCACTGTGGCTCAAGTGGTAGTGTTCTCCTTGAGCTGAAGAGCCAAGGGACAGCACCCAGGCCCAGAGAGTTCAAGCGCCACAACTGATAAAAAATCAATCAATCAATCAAATAAATAAAATAAAATAGCAACAAAGATAAGATACAATAATTAGGGCTGACCAGTAATATTTTGTTTAATAGTGATTTTCAAGGCTATGTTAAAGATAAAGGCCTATTATCATTGGCTATTATCATTTAAAAGGTAAAGTAACAATTACAAGCCAAAATGGGGGGGGGGGAGGTACAGATGAATTCTAAATGTCATGTATAATTATCCAGAAAATGAGATTTATATGTATTTTATAAGAAAGTTCTAGGGATATGCATTTAACTGTACATAAATTGAGTCTTTTTACAAGGCAAAAGTATAGGGAAACAAAGTAACAGAAAGACCATAAATATTTATGCTAGAAAGAATTTATAGTCAGTTTCAGTTTTTGTAAAAAAAAATAATTCACAAGAAGCAAATAATAATACAGAGCAAGTTTTATCAAATTAATAAATTCTATGTAGGCAAAGAGAATTAGGCTGGATGAAAACTTTCCAATAAAGTATTTGAATAGAATCGCTATATTAACTTTGGAATATTAATATTTCTTCACTAAAAGCAATGATTTATTTTTAATTGGTAGGCAAAGTGTGTTTCTTTTCTTTTCTTCCCTTTAATAAAAACTTTACTAAGTACTTATTACCTCCTTAGCTAATTTTGAGACCAATCATTCCTCTTCTTCCTCCTCATTCTCCCTGCTCCTTCCACCATCCTTCATCCCCCCACCTTCTCTTTCTTGCCTCTTTCCCTCAAATTACTCTTCAGTGCATTAAATATTATCTCAATTACATTTCTATTACTTATTTCAATGCAAATTTAATTGAAAAATCTTATGAATTCTGTAAGTAATATTTGCTTTCCTTTTTATTTTAATTTTATTCTAACGGTGATGTCAGATACAGTTACATATGTAAGGTTATAAGTACATTTCTAATGGAACATTGTTATCCTTTCTGCTCCCCTCCCCACACTCAAGTTCCCAGTTGTAAAGTTCATTTCCATCACAGTGTTGTGAGTTTCAAGGTTGCATTGGTTAACCTTTTTCTTTTTTCTTAGCATTTTGTTATTCCCCTTCCAGTCCCCAAATCAGATAAACATATATGAAAGACATGGGGTACCAAAATCAAAAACAGTGACAACAGGGGATAAACCAAAAAGAAAAAAAACAAGAAAAAAAAATTCAGCTAATACATTAAAAACAAAAACAGCTGGGCGCCAGTGGCTCACACCTGTAATCTTAGCTACTCAGGACGCTGAGGTCTGAGGCTCGTGGTTCAAAGCCAGGCAGGACAGGAAAGTCCACAAGACTCTTATCTCCAATAAACCAGTAGAAAACCAAAAGTGGCACTGTGGCTCAAGTGGTAGAGTGCTAGCCTTGAGCTGAAGAGCTGAGGGACAGCGCCCAGGCCCATAGTTCATACCCCATGACTGACAAAAAGCAAAACAAAACAAAAGCAAAGAAACAAACCTCTTGTTTCCATACCTTCGAATTCTGCTTCCTTAATTATATTGTATGAAATAAGTTCTTTGAATTACTGTATTAGTTCTATGGCATTACCACCCTGATCACACCTGAGCTCCTCTGAAATATTGTGTTTACCCAATGCTACTATGTATTTAGTTCTGCATGCACTTTGTACTCATACTTTGTAGTTGAATTAAGTGGATATGAATGGGGAATAGTTGGGGATGGGTATCTTTATTTTGACTAGTAATTCTAATGTTTCTGTCCAGCCAGATGAACATGAAAAGGGTTGATAAGCATTGTTGATTATGTAGTTTTAAATATTCAGATTTCATATTTAGATTTTTTCCCCAAAGTTTCACTGGTACTTTGAGAACATATAGTGTACTTCCAGAAAAGTAAAAAGAATTCCATTGTGCATATATACTACATTTTCTTGATCCATTCATCTACTGAGGGGTATCTGGGTTGGTTCCATATCTTAGCTATGGTAAAAAATGCTGCAGTAAATATAGTTGTGCTGGTACCTTTAGTATGGTCTTGTTTGTGATCATTTGGGTAAATCCCAAAAGTGGGATTGCTAGGTCATAAGGGAGCTCTATGTGGAGTCTTTTGAGGAACCACAATATAGTTTTCCAAAGTGGTTGTACAAGTTTACACTCCCACCAACAATGCAGTAAGATTCCCTTCTGTCCACATCCCCTCCAGCATCTGTTATTATTAGAGTTCTTGATTATAGCCCATTCTAACTGGGGTGAGGTGGTATCTCAATGTTTATTTGATTTGCATTTCTTTTATGACTAGAGAAGTTGAGCATTTCTTCATTGTCTATTGGACATCCTTCTTTCCTCTTCAGAGAAATTTCTCTTTAAGTCTTTATCCCACTTATTTATTGGGCAGTTGTATCTTTGAAGATTTGTTGTTGGGGGATTTAATTTTTTGAGTTCCAGGTATATTTTAGATATGAGACTCTTGTCCATTGTATGGCTAGTGAAGATCTTCTCCTAATCCATGGGCTTTCTATTGATCTATCAGAAAGAATGACATTGCCACATTTGTTAGGAAATGGAAAGACTTGGAAAAATTATATTAAATGAAGTAAGCCAGGCTAATAGGTCCCATGGTTTCCGTTATTTGCAATAATTAGTATATGAGTGAGTCAAGCAGAAAAGGTCAGATAAATTGATGTTAGGGAAATGAACCCCAAGATAAGTTTTCAAATGTTCTTTTTTCTTTCATGCGATTGTTTCTATCACATTTATAAGATGATTTCTTTGTTGCTTTGTATATGCCTCCCCCACGGTATAACCCCTGC